ACACACACACACACACACACAAACACACACACACACGCGCACACAGACACAAACACACACTCAGACAAACACACACACACTGATACACACACACAGACACACACACACACACAGACACACACACACACAGACACACACACACACACAGACACACACACACACAGACACACACACACACACAGACACACACACACACAGACACACACACACACACAGACACACACACACACAGACACACACACACACACAGACACACACACACACAGACACACACACACACACAGACACACACACACACAGACACACACACACACACAGACACACACACACACAGACACACACACACACACAGACACACACACACACAGACACACACACACACACAGACACACACACACACAGACACACACACACACACAGACACACACACACACAGACACACACACACACACAGACACACACACACACAGACACACACACACACACAGACACACACACACACAGACACACACACACACACAGACACACACACACACAGACACACACACACACACAGACACACACACACACAGACACACACACACACACAGACACACACACACACAGACACACACACACACACAGACACACACACACACAGACACACACACACACACAGACACACACACACACAGACACACACACACACACAGACACACACACACACAGACACACACACACACACAGACACACACACACACAGACACACACACACACACACACACACACACACTCAAACACAAATACAATGGAGTTGTGTTAACTAGTTTAAATACTTGTGGTTGTTTCTCTCTGAATGTCGTCAGGTATTTATCTTGTGAAATAGACTATGTGCGTGCGTGCGTGCGTGCGTGCGTGCGTGCGTGCGTGCGTGCGTGCGTGCGTGCGTGCGTGCTCTCACACACGCACACACACTCATTGTCGTTCTATTTGAAACAGAGGATGTTTTCCTGCTGAGGACCAAGGATGAGAGGAACCCAGATGTCTACGCCATCTTCAGTACAATCAGGTGAAAACACACGTCATCTTCACATCATCTACTTTATTATTATCTGTTATCATCAAGAAGTGTATGTTACATCTTCAGTTAATGTTCTTCAGAGAAAATCATCGGTCATTGTTGATTTGATGCCTCAGTAGTTTCAGCTTCTCCACTGACTGAGAGTCTGAAAGTTTCTCACCTTGCAGCAGAGATGTGACACTTTACTCCAGGTGTCAGTACAGTTCACCTGTGGGTGTCATCACCCATCAGGGATGGTGAGAGGTGCAGCAGATCTGAAACCAGTTACAGACTCAGTAACTTCAGTCTGACCCTGATGTTAATCCTGTTTAAACTCAGAGCCTCATGAACCAACGATTTCACATCATTTTTTTCTCCTCTACGTTTATGTTCCTGTTTCTTCTGTTGAAACTGAAAATTTTCAGGTTTCTTGTAAAATATTTCATCCAGATTAATAATGTATTTGTGGACATGTCTCTCTGTCCGCCACAGTAACGTGTTCCAGGGTTTTGCGGTGTGTGTTTACCGTATGGCCGACATCAGAGAAGCCTTCAACGGACCCTTCGCTCATAAAGAGGGTCCAGACTACCAGTGGGGCGCTTATGAAGGCCGGGTCCCTTACCCAAGACCAGGGGTGGTGAGTGACTGTTCACCTGTCCCATCCTCAATCATACATTACCCATAATGCACTTCATGTTTCCCATAATGCACGTGTGTAACACAAAATTCATATGCTCAGGACAGTTTTACATTTTTCTATTCTCTGATAATCTGTATCAACAGCATTGATTAGGTCTGGTGTCTGGAATGATTCACACTTTGATGAAGATCGCTGAGTTCACACTGTTGTATAAGAATGTATATTATCTATAGATTTAGCTAATAAACCATCAGTCCAGGACATAAATCACTTCAGGATCGGTTTAAGTGATTGACAGCAGGTGGATGATGCTCCAGGTAAGCCTGAGCTCCTTCAGTTCTCTACAGATAATGTGGGTGGTGCATTTCCCCAGAACATATTTAGTTAGTGAGACACAGTTGTGAGTGAATATGATATATAATAATCTAATTCTTAGGAGGCCAATGGTGAGAAAAAACTTTTGTGGATAAAAACTTAAAGCTGTCAAACGTTTCTTTGAACTACTGTATGTGGTGAGTGTACACAGCACAGACCTAATCCTGGTTTACATCCAGACTCTGTAATGTTAGACACACACACACACACACACACATACACACACACACACATACACACACAGAGGGTCACGTCAGCCTCATTACAGAGTGAAGGAGAGCGTCTGGAGGAATATGAATAATGAGAAGAGAGCAGACACCTCTGTGGTTTCACTGATTAACAGGAATGTAACTGAGGAACTGAGAGGAAGAGGAGGAGGAGAGGTGATGATGATGATGGGGGTAAGCTGAAGAAAAGACACAGGAATGAAAAGATGAAGGGGGTCGGCTGATTGTCCGTCACCAGACAGAACATTTAAGTCCCGTTTTGTTTTTCATTGTAACAGAAGCTTGATACTAAAATCCTTCAGGTCTATAAGTCACCTGTGAAAACTACAGGTTCAGTCTGACGCAGTTCATCAGCTGGATGTCTCCTCCCTGGATATTTATCTTGGACTGAAGTTTTACGTTCTTTAAACTTGTGTCAGAAAATGATGAGTCTTCAGTGCCGGAGCTTTGCTGATCCTACCTGACCTTCATCTTCATTTGAAAGCCTCATGTTTGATGCTTTAATATCCAGCCAGAACTTTTTATCCAAGATCATCCAAACAGCTTTGAAGAAGTCTAACCTGGCTGTTTCTGTTGGAGAGGGAATTGGTTTTCATCACCTCTGTGGTCTGTTTGATATCCAACACACTGAACATATGAACATTATGATCTCACTTTGATAATCAGTGAATTCTTCACATTGTGTCACTTCACGTCCCTGTTTCCCCCAAATGTGGGAAACTTTCATGTTGTAGGTGACGACGTAGTCAGAGTGAAACCTGCTCATGTGTCTTTGTGTTCGTGAGTGAAATCATCATCCACCTGCACAGAAAAACTAACCTGTTAAAGTCTGAGTCCGGCCCAGCTCTGGATCTGATATCTCCTGCAGCTCGTCTGTGTGACATGGAAGAAATCAAATGGTTATATGATTCTTTAAATGTTGCAGGAAGTTCTCAGAGAACCATGAAGAAAGAGGCCGTCCTCTGACTGAACAAACCATTACCCATGATGCCTTTGGTCACCAGCAGAGACAAAGGAGCTAGTTCCTTCTGAGCAGAACATTTTCTGAGTCGTGGTTCAGTTAAACGTGTAAAACAGTTGCAAAGGAGACTTGTAAAAAAGTAGCTGTGCATGACAAAGACTTTGGCTGCTTCACAAAGGATCGCTGATCTGGATCACGAGCAGATCAGAGCTCATATGGTTTGAATGCCTTCAACCCTCTGAGTTATATGAGTAGTAAAATATCTCAGCCAAGTTCAGGGACATTTTTTCATTTCTACTGTGACACAGTAGAAGGATTTTTTCCTGTTTCCAAACACAGAGCTTTACAACAGTGATGTTGAATTTTCAGGCACAATAAAACAGCTAATGAGGTGAAGTCTCAGAGAAGACTTTAAGACACATAATTAGGCCGCGGCTCTTTTGGAAAGCAGAGGTTGAAAATTTCCAGAATGTTGCTTTAAACTCTTCCTTCTCTCTTGTGTCCATTAATATTCCTTCTCCTCTTTTCTGAAGGATTTGAATAGTTTTCTCTTCCACCCTTTTCCTTTGCTCTTTTCTCATCCATCTCCATGTCCTCAGTGTCCCAGTAAAATCACCAACCAGCCTGGCAGAGAGTTTGGCAGCACCAAGGATTTCCCTGATTCAGTGCTGCACTTCGCCCGCAGCCACTCGCTGATGTGGCGCATGGTGTATCCAGCTCTGCGTCAGCCTGTGCTGGTAAAGGCCAACGTCCCCTACAAGCTGAGACAGATCGTTGTGGACCGGGTGGAGGCGGAGGATGGACAGTATGATGTCATGTTCATCGGCACAGGTAAGTGGACCAAACTGATGATCAGAAACCTGGTCTTCACTGAGCCTGTGGAGAACCTGGATCACTGTAGCTGTAGCTCACAGTGGTGTGTCTGCCTGTCTCTCAGACATCGGCTCAGTGTTGAAGGTCATTGCTCTGCACAGTGGAAACAGTCTAGAGACAGAGGAGGTGACACTGGAGGAGCTACAAGTCTTTAAAGTAAGTTCAACTCCATCAGGTAAATCTCTCTGTCTCCCCCTCAGTCCCTGTTTTATTGTTATTAACATTATTATTACACAGAAAGCCACATTGATGGAGCTGCCATTCATTACTATAGATAATATTTCTGTCACTGTCTCTGAACAGATCAGGAACCACAAACTAGTTTCAAAACCTAATTCAATTCTTTCTCCTCATTTTTAAATTTAAATTCTTTTCTTGAATTTTCTGTTTTCTTATTGTGAATCTTTTAAACACCTGAGGTCAATCACTGTCATCACTGCAGGTGCCAACTCCAATTACATCCATGGACATATCTGTGAAAAGGGTAAGTTGAAATGACAAATTACTCAATTGCTAATGCTCACTTCTATGAAGTTAGACTGACTGTCATCTTCATCCTCTGTCTTCTCCTCATCACTCTCTACAGCAGGCCCTGTATGTGGGCTCTCCAGCAGGTGTGGCGCAGGTAAAGCTGCATCACTGTGAGACTTATGGGAAAGCCTGTGCTGAGTGCTGCCTGGCCAGAGACCCGTACTGCGCCTGGGACGGATCCTCATGTGCACGTTATGTCCCTAACAGCAAACGCCGCTACAGGCGGCAGGACATCAAGCATGGAAACCCTGTGCTGCAGTGTGTGGACCAGAGTCCCAGTGGTAGGTGTGACCGCCTCTCTTCCTCTGTGCAGGACTTTCTTATGATTTCCTGATGTATCACATGGTTTCATGGTTTCCTGGAAACCTCCCAGCGACTGCAAGACTCTGGAAAGTACTGAACACAGCCAAAAAATAGTCCCACACGTAACCTCTATGTAAACCACAACTGTTCAATTTTACACTGTTTGTTTGGAGTAATGAGCCTCAGAGGTGCTGGCATGTGGATTCTGTTTCCTTTGGACAGAGGCTGTTTCCCTGCTCCAGTCTTTGTATTAAACTAACCAGCTGCTGCCTGTAGCTTCACATTAAAGTACAGAGACTAGATTGATATTGACCTTATATATTTATCTCGTCTTAGCAACAAAGCAAATAAGTATAAGTATTACTTTAATCTCAGAGAAAGATTTGAAGACATAACTGGTCAAAATGTTTCACAGATATCAGACACCTGACTTATCAATATCACCAGTGATGTATATTTTATCACCTGCTGACTGAGTTTTAGGTTGTGTCTGATAAAACAGAAAGACAGTATTGATTCTGGTATTGTCTAGAAGAGTGTACTGTCCTTACACAGTGTGTGTGTGTGTGTGTGTGTGTGTGTGTGTGTGTGTGTGTGATCATACTGAGGTGAGGATAAGGAAAAGTGTTGGTGTAGGCAAAAAGAGCCTGTTGAGAGACAGGTAAGAAAGAGGCTGTGAATGTGGTGAAGGTGTGTTTGCTCACCTGAGTGCAGGTAATGAGTTGAGGTGATGAGCGACACCTCCCTCCCTCAAAGCCTCTGGGTGAACCTGAGTTTACAGTGAAAGGTTCGTAACACTGAGTAATTCAGATGTTCACTGTTTACAATAGAGGAAATTTATTCTGAAAGTGTTCCCACATAGACTCCCAGATTCTGTCCGTATTTTTCATGTGATTTAGATTCGAGTCTTTGTGAACAGGCACCGACTGACTTCCTTAAAGAAATAGAATTAATAGAATATATAGAATATATATACATAGAATAGAAACATTTCGTCACATTCTTTTATTTAGATGAGAAGCTCAACACCACTCTCATGTCTGCATGCTAAATATAAAGTTAGAGCGTGTGGCTGGTTAGCTTAGCTTAGCTTAGCACAAAGACTGAAACTGGGGGAAGAAAGAAACATGTCCACCTACCAGCAACTTTAAAAACTAAAGAGTAAAAATGACATAATACAGGGGGTTTGGTGCGTGCGTGCGTGCGTGCGTGCGTGCGTGCGTGGTGAGAGTAGTGACTTCCTGTAGATGGATTTTATACCTTCAGATATTTAACTTGATCATCTGTTATCTTTGTTTTTTTTTAATGTTGATCAACTCGTCTTTAATAAGTTTGGAAAAGATGGAGAACATCAGAGAAGATGTGTAGACCTGAACCTACATGTTACTCATGTGTTTACAACAATGAAACTGAACAAGATCCAACTATTATTTAAGAACATGTATTTTACAGAGACGGTTGAAGGAAGATCGTACGGCTAATGTTCAATGACTTATTTAGTTCACACAGTTCATTTATACACAAAAAACCACATGACAAATCACATGAAGGCAGAACGACCTCATTAAGGGGATGAAGTATGAAGAGATTAAAATCGACATAAAAGAAAATTAATGTTTGTGTTTTATTCAAAGTGTTAACAATAATAGTACTTTATTAATTCATATGTCTCAGTGTCTTAAACCAGACAACTTGATCATCAGCTGCCGCCTGGATGATTAGATATATTTTATATATACAGGTGTATGTATGGATCTAATGGTTTAGTCCTTTACATTGGGGGTGTTACTTCACAACCTTTCTGATTCTTTCTCCTTCAACCAGAAGAGCTGGATGTGACAGAGCAGAGGCTGGTGTATGGGACCGAGAACAACAGCACCTTCCTGGAGTGTGTTCCTCGCTCTCCACAAGCCACTGTAACCTGGCTCGTCCAACACAACGACCACAAGGAAGAGGTGAGACATCAGTCCCAGTAAATCTACATTGGGAGGAGGATGGGGGAGCAAACAGTCACCTGACTAACTGCCTTTAAAAGTGAGATCTATATGTGAGTTTGGCACATGGTCGACACATTCGACAGCCATTTGACATATGGTTGAAATGATATTCCAGAGGGAAATGCAGCGTCTCTTTTCCTGTTAGACAAACATGGAATTCTTTGTAAACTTTGACCACATGAACCACTGAAGTGTCACTCAGTGTCTCCAGGTCTGTGTGACTGAAACACACAGTGTCAAAGTCCTTTTAAAGAGCCCGAACCCACAGTCACTTTTCATCTGAGGTTTCTCCAAGCTTTACTCAGTCAGCCAGTCAGTATTAAGGCATTACCACCCCTCTCCATTTCCCTGCAAATAAACATTTGGCTGCCATTCAGCTGACATGGCAGCCATGTTTGTGTTGGCACCGGAGAAGAGTTTGAGAAGCCGAGGGACGGACTAAGTGAGATGTGAGGAGGCTGGTGGAGGAAGGGGAGAGGCATGAATGCTGGAGGAGAGAGTTGTGCTGGAAATCGTCAGAGAAGACAAAGAGAATGAGAGGAAAGAGAAGAAAGAGTAAAAACTAACAGTGACTGGATTTCATGGTTCATTCTTATTGTTTCAATCCAAGCTGAGAAAACAGCCTCTGTCTTTTTTTATTCTGTGAGTGGATTTCTTCTTTATAGTATGTTTGCATCAGACAGATGGATTAGCTGAGTGGAACACACTGAGATAAAGATGCTGCAGTATAATCTTATGAATATTTCACGTACAGTGGCTTTAAAATTCATATTTCTTTTTGTTAATTCACTTAAAATCTTTGTATTTATAATCAAAAGACTCTGGAGCCTCTACAGCAAAGACAAAGTCATTAACTGCACATGGAGCTGTTTGTGTGTGAAAGCATCAAAGTCAGTTTACTTTGAACTTTAAAGGCACTCTTTAAAAGTTTTCTATTGCTACATAGCTAATGTTAGCATTAACAGCTGTTTACTGACCAGTCTCACCAAGAGCTTCAGGCTCATTGTGTTTAAACTTCAAGAGGTTATAATACGTCCTCTGAGCAGACGGGCTGACCAAGCTGGGGCTAGCTGGTTAGCGTGGTAACTTAGGTAGAAGCTTTAAACCTCCGGAGACAGCTGTTGGTGAGTAAAGGAAAGAAGTTTGATGCAGAACTCTCAACGTTTCTTCTCGACCGGTAAGTAAACAGCTGCTAATGCTAATGTTAGCTATGTAGCAATAGCAACACTTACATATAGCTCCTTTAAAATGCCACACTTGGTTTTCCTCAGTCACTTTAAGACGTGTTACATCTGACGTACTGACTCTCTCTCTGCCTCTGCTCTTAGGTGAAGCTGGATGACCGGGTGATGTCCACGGAGCAGGGTCTTCTGTTTCGTCATCTCTTCCAACAGGATGAAGGTGTGTACATCTGCCGCTCCCGAGAACACGGCTTCACGCAGACCCTGGCCCGCATCACCCTGGAAGTCTTCCAGGGGGAGACGGTGGACGAGCTGATGTCACGTGACAACGGCGGCCTCTCTGACTCATTCAAAGATCGGTCCACAGGAAGCTACAGGGCCTGGATGCCATGCAGCACATACGGCAGGGCAGGCTCATCCAGCCAAATCGGCCAATCACGTATGTGGTTCAAGGATATCATGCAGCTGATTGGGCCATCGAACCTGCAACACGTGGAGGAGTACTGCGAGAGGATGTGGTGCAATGACAAGCTGAGGAGGAAACACAAGAGCATGCTGGAGAAATACCGCCAGGCGCAGGAGAGTGCCAGGAAGGCTCGTAGCAAGAGTTCTGGAGAACGAAACCGGACGCCACGGGATCTGAGAGAATGGGAGGAGTAATGGAGAAAATGTGGGAGGAGCAAAGAAAGAAAGATTACCATATAGGACAAGATGAAAGGATCAACACCAGCGGAATAGTTTGACTTTAATCCAAGGCAATGAAACCTAACAACATATTTAATGAGATGAGTGTATGTGTCGGTCAGAAGTCAGAGGTCAGAGGTCAGTTCTGAATGAAGACTTTGGTTGTCTGGATTGTTGTTGTTGATGAAATGATGAAGAGGAAACAAGACAAATCTTTAAATCCTCAACCTCGACCTCAGAGCCTGTTTTACGTCTGTGATGAAAACTGAGTCTGATCATTGTGAGACTTTACGCTGCATCATCGATTGTCATGTAAATATTCAGAGTCATCGAAGAGAAATTCACATTTACACATTTCACATCTGTGGACAACAAAATATAATAATGATAATGAAATAATGACACAAACACCTTCCTGTTCTTCTTCCACCGGGCTGCTCACATTTCACTCAATGAAATCACTGGATTCATCTTCATGTCTTTCATCTCCTTCATCATATCCATCTCCTTCCTCTCCCTCTCTCTCTCTGTCTCAATTGACCTGTGTCTCTTTCCTTGTTCTGCTCTTGACTTTGTTATAAACTCTTCATGTGTTAAATTCATTGTTGTATATTTGTTAGAGGCACATGAAGCTAATGGAGCTCACAGACTTTGACACTCTCTGTATTACACACACACACACACACACACACACACACACACACCCTCATATAAACTGAAGTCACTGAAGACATAAACTCTCACTCCATGAGACAACTGTTGATGGTTCAACAGATTAAAGGTTGTCATTTTTCGATGATTTCACAGTAACCATTTATTTTTAATCTCCATCAAAAATCTTCAATTTATCATGATGATAAAAAACCTTCACATCTGGAATCAGTGAATGTCTCGTATTTCTTATTCTAGGCGATAAACGAACTATGGAACAACCTTAAAGTAAAATATTTAATCCGTTTCCAGGTTCAGACACATTATGCAGTCTCTGGTTGACTCTATTACTCTCTCTATTCACTCTTATTGACTAAAGACAAGTTTGAGTTGTGGTTCTTTGATCGTTAAAGAAGGAATTATACAACCTGACCTCACCTGACATGTTAATCACTAAACTCATTTTCCCACAGTTCCTCTTTGCACTGCAGCTTCACAGTGACAATAGAGGGAACAACAGAAGGGCCAGCTGTCATGACTGTCTCCTCTTGTCTTTCTGCTTTGGAAACACTGGTTTTAAGTCACTTCATGGTTTGAACTCATGATCATCCACCTTATTCTTATCATCAGTTTGTCTTTTTTTTCCTCCACAGGTAATAGGTGGAGGAGAGAACGAAGGGTTGAGTTAAATAACAACACTGAACAATAGAGATAAAGATGAACTTTTAAAGTACAATAGAAGCTACTGAGGACGTCCAACATGGCTGCCAAAAGCTGTTTTACCTCATCCCTATAACATATATACATATGAAGTGTATGTATATCTGTTCTGGGACTACGACTTAAATTAGCCAGGAAGTAAAATGAGCACTAATGAAGCTGGTGACTTTGTGTGAGAATGACCTCATATGACGGACGAGGAGAGAGGAGGGTCAGAGTTAGACATGATGAGAAGAAAGAGATTAAACATGAGGTACTATGAGCATCGTGCGGAGGCTTTTCATCAATTTATGAAAATCATGATCCCTTTTAAAAACACATGATCCCTGCATTCATCTGTATGAAACATTTTAAAAAGGTGACACATTTTCCCTGATTTGTACAACACACTGTTTATTGTCTTAATTTGACGACCAAGAGTTAATTAGACTTTATAAATAAATAAAAATAAAATAAAGTGATGAATGACAGGAAGATGGTGAGAATGAAACAGACAGTTGTTGGAGTAAAATACAACTAAAACTCGATTTATCTTTAAAATAACCTTCAATAAAAGTTGATTTTCTGTGTAACAATTTTAATTTTATCATAATTTTGTGTAAACGGCTACACATGTACTTGGGCTGATATGATCTGGTATGATATGGTCTGGTTAACATTATTATTTGTCATCAATATTTAGTAAAAAAATATTCAAAACAAACAATCAATTGTTGTACAGTTGTACATGGTGTGTTGTGTTATTTTATATATTTATCTTGTTGTCATGGCATCCACTCTCTGGTTGTGTTCAGTGCTGTTTCTCAGTAGTTTTAATTTGTATCTAAAACAGTTTGTTTTACAGTGTAAATATAAGAACAGCTGATGGATTGATCATTAAGGATTCACTCATCAATATTGTAAAAGCTTTTGTAAAACTGGAGCAAGGCTTCCCTCCTGCTCAACGACACCAGGTGATGTCACTGGTAACCCTAACCCTCCTGATTGGTTTGTCTCCACATGAAGCCGACAGGAGGTTCAGTCAGAAGGAGACAGTCCAGTGAACACACTGTAGTCATCACATTGAAGGTTCAACAAACAGGAAGTAGTTTTACTGAAAAATCTCCACTGTCAGTATAAAGGTGTAAAAATTAACATGAGCTGACTGTGGCTCTCGGACAGAGAGAGCCTCTTTTTAAATATGTATTTATGTTTTATTTAAGTGTCTGCATGCTGTGTCGCTTTCTGATATTTAACAACATTAAAGTTGATTTTTCTAACAAAGGTGATTCCTGACTGAACATTCTTATTCAATGTTTTGTTTTTGTTTTGTTTGTTTTGTTTTGTTTTGTTTTGTTTTGTTTGTTTTGTTTGTTTTGTTTGTTTTGTTTTGTTTTGTTTTGTTTTGTTTTGTTTTGTTTTGTTTTGTTTTTTTGTTTTGTTTTGTTTTTTTTGGGGGGGGGGGGGGGGGGGGGCTAATATGGCTCCAGTGACATAAACAGAGACCAAAAAACAGTTCCCTGAAAAGATATTTTAGAAACCAAGACATGCTCTGATTAACCCTAAATCAACAACATGCAGACAGCACACCTGCAACAAAGAGACGTGTGTGTGTGTGCGTGTGTGTGTGTGTGTGTGTGTGTGTGTGTGACGTTACCCAGTTACCCTGGGTCTGGCCATGCATGTGATTGGAGGGTAATTGTACATCTGTCAGCTGCTTGTGTCTTCAGCAGACCATCTCATAAAAACCTGCAACTAGACGACTTCACACCCGACAGTTACTGCAGCCACATAAACACACACACACACATACAAAATACACACACATGGTTTCACCCTGATGAGAAGATGTGCATGGAGAGTGTCCTGGACACAGCTCTGTGCAAAGCTGCTTAAGCCAGTTCTGACGTCAGTCTCCACTGTGTTCAAGGACTTGTTGTTTATACTGTCCAGTTTGGTTTGGGTCAATTTTAATATTGACCATCCATGTCTGTTCATGTGGTTGTTGTTGTTGCTGCTGTTGTGTCACACACTGGAAGTGTGAGGACATGATCTTTAATCTCAAAGTGTGATGACCTTCTCTAACAGGCCCCTCCCTGCATGAGCTGGATGGGTGGAGTCTGGTCTTCAGGATGATTCAGCTCACCTGGTCTGGCTGCTCTACATCAGCTGGTGACAGTCTCTCTCCCTCTCTCTCTTTCCTTTGGCTTCCACCCTGTTTGGTTTTGTGTTTTGTTTGTCTTAAGATTAATTTCCTGTTGTTGCTGTACAGTTGTGTACAATAAAGGTATTTTTAGTTTTCACTCAGGTGTGGTCTTCCTTCCTTTGTCCTGCCTTGAGCTGGTTGTGACTAAAGAAATCAACAGAAGCTCAGAGCAAACAGTGGGAGGGAAACGTGCTGAATCCCCCATCAGGTTCATTTTATAGATAGCAATAGATATAATAGAAACGTTTCATATAAACGTGTGCAGTAACTCATAGGACTGCTTTAATGAAAAGTGATTTCTCCTGCATGTTTTAGTAGTTTTCACTAATTACACTTCTCCTTCACTCTATCTTATAGTTTCTCTTGAATTCAAACTTTTTCATTGTCAGGTGACAGTCTTAGTGTCAGCCATTTTATTTTCAGGTTGTCCATCTGTTTCATTCTGATGGACACAATATCTCAGTAACACCTTGACGGAGCTTCTTCAAATTTGGCACAAACATTCACAAGGACAAGACTTCACTGTAATAATGACAAGATTTCACACAAATGGTGGATATTTTATATGAATGGATAAACAGGATGTAACCTGGAACTAGTCTGAGTGGAGGAGGGAAACAACCACAAGGAGGTGATTCTAGTTTGAATTCATTCAAATGTGCTCAAGAGTTGTGAAGATGTCACAACTGTGGTGTCTCTTTAGATAGTGATGACCACCTCATACATGAATCTTTTGGTTGTAATGTAAATCATAACTATGCACCAGCCAAACACAGCACAGAGTCAGATCAGAACAAAGGATGAAGCTCAATCTGAAGTATGATTCACTACACTGATGCCTAAAGAACAGAAAACTCAGGTTACATTCATTTCTACAAGTCCATGGGTCTGGGAATCATCAGTGATCCATAATTCATAAACAACAAAAAACATAAATCTGTTTGTGTCAAAACCAAAATGAAATTGGTGTCAGAATCAAAAAACGAAAATCCAATCAAAATGTTCTGTTTTTGTTTTAAAAAATCCTATTATCATTATTTAGTTCAATAAGATCCATAATCAGATAAATTCTGTTTTTGGTTTCAAACAAAATAATGATAAAAGGAAATGTTGCACTGGAATTCATTGATTTCATGTAATGTGTTTTTATAGATATGAACTATATCAACCTGACTGCCAGTTCCTTGCTCTCCTGATGATGACATCACTGCTGCTGTTTTCTCAACCCTTAATTTGTTTCAGTTCATTATCTGATCTGTGACACATGCACAAAATAGCACCTGCATCATTTTCTCCATGAACAGCTGGAGACAGATGTGGACCAGACCACTTCCTCTCTAGTCCTCCTCCAAGTTCCATAAAGTGAAGTGGACAAAAGAAAACAGCAGCCTGGATTCAAACATCTGCATCGGTGTGTGCATGTGTGTGTGTGGGTGTGTTGGGGGTTTGCCACTTGAATTCTTTCTTTTTGTTTAGAACATACGTTTCTTATGATGTTAATATTTAATATGTTAAAAAAGAAACATAATAAAACCTTTATTACAGTTGATGTTGGTCTGAGTTTGAATCAGAGCAAAATATCTTGACAGTTACTGACAAACTCCTCTGACGTTTTTCATTAATGTTTTCTCTCTAAACAGTTCCAGTTTATATTCTGGGTCTCCAGAGGATGGACCCTCGTAGCTTTGATCCATAGACCAAAATAGACACAATTTTACTGGTAAAGCTCAGTATGTGCTTCAACCTTTTTTATTTTATATTTTCCTCATTTCACTACAAAGAACCATGACATAAATATCACATGCATCAGTACAAATTCTATACACACACATCATCATCAGTGTTTATAGGGTCTGAACCAGACTTAACAACAGCAGATAACAGTCTCCAGCTGGCAGGCATAAATACAGAGATATCCCACAATCCTCAGCTCTGTAAACAGTTTATACACAAATGTATGTGAACAACCACAGACAATGAGCTTCTAACAAAGTTGCACACACAGCCACAGTTACTGCCTCTGTTTTTCCTTGTGTCACAAACACTCAGCCAAACTTTAATTAGTAAACTGAGAATCATGGAGGATAAAACACTGTTGTTCACAAAGCTGAGACCACACTGTTTATTATTATAATTTATATTCATTAACGTAAACCACTGTGAAAGAGCTTCTGCTGATTAAAGTCCAGTCAAGTTTCAGATGAGGACTTCCTATCCACACAGAAAACTTTTGTTTTCATTTTTAATGAATCAAATCTGAATCATATACATGAGATTTATTTCTCTCTTTATATTCAGAAAGTCACATTTTGAAAATCTAAATCTACTTAACATTAAAACAGCTCAACACTTGGTTGAATGACAATGTTAGTTCAATTTCATGTAGTCCATCACTGGACGCTTGATTTCTACATAGAAGAATGAGACATGAGACACTCGGTTTTGGTTGTAATGTCGCTGCTGGTTTGGGACTGGACAGAATGTGATCTTCCTCATGATGAATCAGGGACATTGTCAGTCAAATGACATCACTGTTTTGATGCAGTTCTTTTTGTGATTCTTCCTTCTCTTCTACAGACTACAGCCTGAGTTTGTCTGGTTATACGAACTAACTTCATTCACTTACTGTGTTTTATTTATTTCTTGTATGGATCCTTAGATCTTTGTTTGTAATTACATGTATACATCACATGTGTGTTTGGATTGTAAGGGAAAGATCATACTGTTGGGGCTGAACATCCAGGTTTCATCTGAAGTGTTGAGTAATGGACAGTCCTCTGGTCCTCACTGTTTAAACCACATGGAACACAGTGGACGTGTTCACAGTCAGTGATCTTCAAATTCATATGTAAACACAGCCAAAGATCTGTCAGAATATGTCCAAGTTTTATGGGTTTAATGGTTTTAAATGCGTCTATTTGGATACAGTTAATACACATAATGGACTTAAATGACTTTCATTATGTCATTTCCATTATTTAGCAGTTAATGTAATCTGGGACTTTTTCCAACAAAAGGCCTGATATGTGTTTATAGAATATTTGACAGCAGCACACACACACACACACACACACACACACACACACACACACACACTGAGAGCTAGCTGTTCCCAGGACAATAAAAGAAGTTGTAAAGTGAGAGAGAAGGGACAGAATACGGTTGTTGTTGTTGTTGTTGTTGTTGTTTCATGCTCCACATGTTGTATGTGTATATTACGTCTGCAATCGTTTACTCTTCTTCTTCATACGTCTCCACTGTTTACTTTCCTTTGATGAAAAAGATGTTGTGACTGTGTCTGATGTGATATTAGTTTCTGAAACAAGTTTCCTCTTGTGTTTGGGGGGGGGGGTCATACCCGGTGGAGCAGTCTGTTGAACTCATTGATCCTGATTGGAGACATGAGGTTTTTCTGCTGGAGAATCTCAGTCTGTCACTGACTGACTGCAGACCTGACCTTTCCTCGACCGTGTGACGTGTGTTTCATTATTTCATGTTGGATATCTCCAGTTTTATTTTGGCCTGGGAGACAACAGTGGTCAGATTCACTTCAGCTGTTTGTTGTTTTTTCTCTAAAATCTGGTAAAAGGACAAAAATGCATTTAAAAACACTGAAATAAGATTTAAATCTGTAATAAACAAAGAGTTGTAAAATCAAACAGTGTTTGTCTTCACTGCTGTGAACCAGGTTCAGAGACAAACATTTGATCTAACATCAAAGTCTATAGCTCCGTCTCAGGCCAATCAACAGCAGGGAAGAGTAAATTAATTCAGATGTGTAAATTTGAAGCTGTAGCTCCATATATTATGACTGAGCCTGTGTGTGTGTGTGTGTGTGTGTGTGTGTGTGTGTGTGTGTGTGTGTGTGTGTGTGTGTGTGTGTGTGTGTGTTCTATGCTGATTAAGCTCTTATATGGTGTGTGTGTGTGTGTGTGTGTGTGTGTGTGTGTTGTGTGTGTGTGTGTGTGTGTGTGTTTGTGTGTGTGTGTGTGTGTGTGTGTGGTGTGTGTGTGTGTGTGTGTGTGTGTGTGTGTGTGTAGCACAGGGAG